CAAGAAGGCACGTGGCGAAGGATCCTCCTGGTCCAGTATACGGTCCAAACAGCTGTGAGATACGTGGCGGCTACTACTTCCAGAGGGCATAAAGTCGTTGGGTTTGCTTTTGACACGTGACTGTAGATACGGGCTGCAAGGGGGTTTTGACAGGGACGTAAGTGCTTTGTGCCCAGTTTAGCCAAAGAGGGTACTTTTGACACAGTCAAGAGCATGTAGAATTAGCTTAATCATACAGTAGTTCAGAGGACCCGTCTATCAACACTTGCAAATGTCAATCTGTCCTTTCCGGTGACATGCGTCTGTATCTTAGTAGAGAGGTCGCATTGCAAAATTTCTTGACAAGCGACTCTAAGAATTTTGACAACAGAATAACAACAATCAAACAAAGTCTACCCCGAAAGTGTGAAAGTGTTAGATCTTGGGTTAGTGGCTGAACTAGTACTCATAAACTTTGTGACTACATTACGAACGCACCTATCCGTTTACGGTTGGTCGACCATTGAGCGGCTAGGCGACCAGAACTTGTGCACGGTACGTCTCCAAAGTTCGAGAGGGCAACGCCCGGTCTGACTTGGCCCTTCTTAGAGGCATTGTACAGTAGAGTCCCACGAGATTGAACTGGCTGATCGCTGGCAAACGTGCTAGCACGGTTCGAATCCTATCAGAACTGTCGACTTGACGGTGGCCCGAGGGTCTCAACTCGATGGCATCATTGCAACGAATCAAACTAGCTCCCTCAGGGCTTGTGCACTAGGCTCACGGCAAACTCGAATGCCGGGCCGGACTCACTGTGACGCATCGGTACCGTCCCGTAAGTCAGTGTTCAAGGTACTACTACCCCCCAACTTGGACGATTTGCAATCAGCTGAACCTTCTTGTCCAATGAGATATCTGATTCGCTTGCATCTATCATCATTGTCATTCGATTGTGATACTGATGCACAACTAGCTAACCGACAGCCGCGGCCGCTGCCAGTGCGCGTGGCAGGCACGTGGCTATATGTACGTGTGGATATGACCGCATGACGTAAGACATTTCATTTAAGTGATATGTAGCTGCCAGAGACTCTGAGATCAGCCGCCACTGATCATGCAAATGGCAGATCGAACTTAGTAGACGGTTTGAGCTCACTGGCAGCTTCCGATCCGGCGTAGTGAATCACTGCAGCCTTTCGATTAGCCAAATAATCAGTCACGGTGGCCCCATGCATATAGTGCCGCGATGCCGCCGCGTGATACGGCCTGTAGGCCAGAATTGGCAATGAATTGTTGTTTTAACGTATACAGGGCGGGCCGGGCGGCCCGCCGCGATCCGACATGACAGTTTTAGTATCGATTGGTATGCACCTTGAACGGCACTAGGCCGGCCAGCGCGCTTTCAACTTAAGACTCGAGCAACGTGCGCGCGGGTTTCCAACGCATACATAGCTGGTGGCGCGCCACCCGCATGGGCCGCGGGCTCGACCGTCCCAAACAATCAGTCAATGAATCGACCCGGGACGGAGGGACGTACTACGGGAAACCCCAATGGATGCTTCTCTCTTTGAATAAGAGGGGTGACGCCACGACCTTCCCTCCTTCTTCCCCTCTTCTCCTCACGGACGAAGAAAGCCATTCTCTCCTCTGACATTCAGGCAAATCTGCCAGTCACAATCATAATAATGTGAGATTGTTCGACGAGCTTCAATTGCTTTTGGAAAAAGCCATAGCGAGACACGTGCGCCGCTGCTTGTAGTCCAGCCTTTGGTGTCGGGCAAAGATATGAACGTCATTGCACTTCCTGGGTTGAAACCACAAGCAATCGAAGCTGATGTTTATCTACTCAATTCTGCCCTGACTGCAAGTCGTTGCAGGTTGTCGGCATATATGGCAGGTAAACAGCTTGTGACATTGACAGCTTGTAACTTTGACAACAGAAGCCTTTTCCAGTGTTGGTCGGAAAAGAACAGGTTCAATGGGGCGATCCTGATGAAAGTCGTAGCAGAAGTCTTGAAGGGCCTTTCTCTAAAAGACGTAACCTGGGTGAACTTCTAGGTAGCTATAGCTGGCTTTGCCCCCATATCAGCACGTGAGGTCCTCCTTGTAGCTGGAAGTCGTCTGGGTCTTCTCATGTTTCTACTTTGTTAGCGAAAGGCACCACCATCAGGGCACTCCCCTCAGACGAGCCTTCTCTGTGGAAGCATCTTAGGCAAGCTACCAGGAGATTCGTTAACCAGCAAAGCTCTTGCTGAATGGTTAAAAGAGCTTCTCTCTTTGACCAATGGATGTATAATTAGTACTAGATGCATCTAGGCCCCGCTTCATGGAAGACAGATACATTAGACGCGGTGTCTGAACAGCTCTTCACATTCGAATTCGTACAGTTTCGGCGATCATTGTCACCATTGAGTGGAAGGTGCCCATCTCTTTGACGGACACCGTCATCATTGGGGACACCATCATTTGGAGCTGGGCCGACACCGCCCCCCACGACCTCACCTGTAAGCTCCTTCATGAGGCTGGCATAGTGTCAATTGAACGAAGCAAACCTGCCAGTTTGAGAGCCTCTTGCCTTAAGATTCTTTCTCTTGGAGGACAGACTCTGGCTATCAACCCGCGTTTTCGATGCTTCATTTCCTTATCTAGCTGTCCAGGTTTCCGTGACCATGTTCCAACATTTGCACGTGACTCCACAAATCAGAGATATACACCAAACCATTGGGGAGGCGTTCCGTGGCTAAAAATCACGCCTCCTCAGGCTTTCCCCTACTCCTCTGCAGTTCTGACTTACCCCGCTGGCTTTACTAGCATTGCGACCAACGGTGTAGAGGGGCTCATGATCCCCACTACGCCAGTCCGGGGGCCTGTCAATGTGAGTTTCCATCCCAGTCTACCAGGGGAGTACACCTACCGGTACAGTGTTCACTCTTCCATGACTGGAACACTCACAGTGCTGGATAAGCATTGTAGTCGCAAGTACAGTGTCTATTAGAGCAAAGGGTTCAATTTGAACGGTAGTGACCAAAACGTCTAGATGGCCAGAATGTCTAGATGTGCTGATCAGAAGTCATTGATCATCTTTTCGAATGTGGATATGGGTCACACCGTGACTGGGCAACGTCACTCGGTCGAAGGGAACGTTTGACTACTTAAACTGTAATGATTCAACTCCAAGCCTAGGATTCTTGACACGATTCGGGCCGAGCCACGTGCAGGTGGTTTTGGGAGCTCCGAGTCGCTCTTCAGCACTCGTTGGGGGGGTATTGCTGATGCACCGTTGGATCGAGTTTCCTGTTTGCTGACGGTCGGATCTGCAGATCTGAAACTCGTTCTTGCGTACACGAAGAGTGAACACGGTTGAACAGGCACCGTAGCCTGCGCGCTGAAGCTCACAGCATTTCACATGCATGGCCTCTGACCACTTCTTATTGCCGTGCAGCGTCGGCGGTTGTAGTCACGTATGCCTGGAAGGTGCCAACCATTCTGACCAACACCATCAATCTCGGGGACACTGTCGTTTGGAACTGGGCCGACAGCGGCCCCCATGACGTTACCTGTAAGATCCTACTAATTTTAGTGTCAACTCAATCACTGCAGCAGATCTGCCACCGTGTAGATCCGCGGTTTTGGTCCTTTTCCGTATAGTTAGCTGGCCCTTTTTGACCCACCGAGTTTCTCACACACCGTCAGTGCAATCCAGTCAAGAGTGGTCAGGGCTTGATGGGCTTGAACCTTTCAATCCTGGCCCCCTTCATTGTATCGAAGATCCCTACCGTTCAATCAGAGCTTTGAATCGCTTGAGACCCTTTTCAAACCTTGATATTACGTCAGTTTGACCCGGCGCACCCTCTCACGCTCCGTCTTCTCACCCCCTCTAAATCTGTCTTTCGTATCGTGACCATGTTTCGACCGTGGAGATGTTTCTTCACCTCTACAAGACCCACAATACCCAAGATCGTGACCCTTCTCTTCTTCCTTTGCATTTTTGACCTATCCCACTGCATTTACCGGTATTGCCATCGACGGAGTGGTGGGGCTCACAGTCCCTCCCATACCAGTCAAGGCCCCCTATAACGTGACTTTCCACCCCACTCTGCCTGGGACGTACTCCTACAGATGCAGCGTCCATTCGTCTATGACGGGAACGCTCACAGTGCTCGGTAAGCCCCGGGTCGGATTGAGCTGGAAAGAGGGTGTATTCAAAACGAAGGAATAAAGACTTCTTTATCTACTGTCAAAAAATAAAAACGTGCGTTTGGATTTGAGATCATATGTGAGCAGACCAGGGTCGTTTGGGGAGCGGACTCCAAGTGCCAAACGTTACCCTATGGAGTTCAGCGACGTCTCTTCATTTGCTGGTTCATAGTCGCCTCCGTTAATCATCACGACCCAGACCGGCAGCTTTGAGCTTTCTAAGCTTTGTACTAATTTCAAAAATGACAGAAGTAGTCTGAGAGGGGTCAACTTGAACTTCGTCTCTTCTGAGAGTTTCTCTTGATCAACTTGTGCTTCAAAGAATTGGAGAATACGCAAACGTGAAACTATACATCTCCGGCTCGAAACCACAGATTGCTTTGATCTCCGAGTTCCCTCTACAAGATCTAAGTTACTGGTTCAGGCCGCCTCACTGGGCCGTGGACTTCCAATATGGCCACGGAACGCTGATTCAGACAATCGGTGACCTGAGAAAACAAGCTTTGAAAAGTGACGTTACCATCTGTGCAGGTCCTGACGTGGGCAATATGACGCTCGGAGGCGCCACCATCACATCATCCACACCTGTACCGCTCCCATCTCCCCCCTCCAGTTCAAAAACGTTTCCAACGACAATCGCAGTTGCGGGCGGTATCGCTGCCGCAGCCATTATCATAGAAGCCTTAGCTCTTGCGTTGCTTCGCTGGAAAAGGCAGAGGAGTCGCCGACGTCCTTCCGCTAGGCCCTTGGACTCTGATGGAAAGGCTTTCGATCCCACGCAAGCCCCAACGTTGCCTGCTCGAGGGAGTTCCGGGCCGGTGTCGAGAGGGCTGCTTGACAATTGGTCCGACAGCGGACGTCAACCTGGGCCGGTCCTCTCGGATTCGTACTTGGAAGAGAGAACTCCGAAACCCCAACCGACTCAATTGGGAATGACTCAAAGGCCGCCAAAACCTGAGTTGCAAGAGCAATATACGCTGCGGCAGCTTCAAGCGGCCACCAATCATTTTTCAGAGGCTAGCGTCATCGGCGGCGGCTCATTTGGCGTGGTCTGCGAAGGTGTTCTAGCGGATGGTTCGGTGGTGGCTGTAAAGCGGTTGAGGAAGCGATTCGGCATCCGCCAGAGTGAAGAGAAGTTGTGGAGAACGGAGGTGGACGCCCTTGGCAAGATGAGGCAAAAGAACCTGGTGTCACTTCTGGGAGTGTGCCTGGAAGGGGACGAGCGGCTGCTCGTATTTGAGTTCTTTCCCAGAGGTAGCCTGAACAGGCGGCTGCATGAACCTCGGGAAGAGGAGCCCGTCCTTACGTGGGCAGAGCGCATGTGCATTATCCGCGGCATCTGCCGAGGCCTGTCTTATCTTCATCACGACCTCCGGCCTCCAATGTTGCACAGGGACATCAACGCCGCCAATGTTTTGTTAACGGACGAGGAACCGTTGGAGGCCTGTATCGCAGACTTCGGCCTCGCGCACTTTGTGCAAGACGTGGGAACGAATACTTCGACCATGGTAAAGGGCACGGTTCCTTACATGGCCCCCGAATATCTGCACGGTGGGGCGCGGTTCCTCTCGCCAAAGTGCGACGTTTACAGTTTGGAATCCTCCTCTTGGAAATAATAAGCGGACAGCCAGTGGTGAGGCAACGAGAAGACGGCACAGTTGAGCGCCTCTCAAAGCTGGCCGCCAAGTTGGTCGGGCTAAGAAGGGAGTTCGAATGGTGGATCCGAAGTTGGGAACGGAGTACGATACGCAGGAGGCGATGTGCTGTATCCACGTGGCCATGGCATGTCTCAGAAACAAAGTGCCAACAAGCGACCAACCATGGAGCAGGTTGCCATAGATATAACTCAGGAAGTATTGCGGCGAAGCGACTTCTTGGCGGAAGATTCGGGATCAGAAGTCTCGACGTTCCTGCAGGGTACTGGGACGGATTCTGGATCTGGGTCGTCCCCGTTTCTTTCAAGAGCTAGGACCACCTGGTCTGCTGCAAGATTTATTACTCCTAGGTCGAAGCAGCTAGGCCTGAGCTTTATAGCAACCTCGTCACAAGGAGGCCCGGCCTCCTGAAAAACCTTGAAGTAATTCTTCAGCAGCCTGATTAGCGTCAGCGCATGATGTGCCTTTGGTCGCTCTCCTTATGATATACTTCTCTCATGATTCAAGACATTTGGAGTGGCTCTGTTCGTCCTTCTAGTCTCATAGCATTCGAATGCATCTGATTGATACCGTGGTGCTTTGTCGTTGCGTGAGGTCACAATGGTCTTTTTGATGCTGCGCGCCAGACCGTCGATCAATTGAGAGGATGGTGGCCTAGCTAAACAGTTTAAAAAAAAAGAGTGTATCATGCATGTCCAACCGATCCGATCGAATATGGTTCAGTGCGCACGCATACGAAGTGCGCCGCAAAAAGTTCGTAAGTTTCAAAACAGACACCATCAATCTGATGTAACTTGGTGCGTGCTCTAAACGGCGACACTGACCCGGTATCTGTGACCGTCGCGTACATCCGGCCAGTTTGACACTCGTTAGTGAATATGCTGTGGAAATGTGACTCAGTGACTGAAGTTTTCACGCGGCTTGCTTTAAATTCGTGCGCCAGCACGCAAGAGAATGATGTCACGCAGATCAGGCCGTATAATGCGCATGCTTGGCTTTCCAGGTACGTCACTCGCGCCCGGTACTTTAGTCTGGAGAAAGCAGACCGGCGGCGCTCAAACGAGACCCAAGTGTGTTTGAGACCCAAGCATCTGAAGTCCTTGTTGCAATCTTCCTCGTCTGTACAGACAAATAGCTTCCCCCGATCGAGTTCCCGACCCGCCACACGCTCGACATGTGGCTGGTCAAACTGCTGACCGCGGTGGGCGTCGAAGCCGCGGCACACCAATTCCGCTGCTGGGGACGACACATCACACTGACGACGCTTATCTTGGGCGTCGCCCTGGGCATCTCGGAGGCAATCCCCGACAACTCGGCCAAAGTGCTGCTAGTGACCGGGGCCACCGGGGTGTGCATGCCAGGTGTCGTACGTCATACCCGTGGGAAACCACCTCATGCTCTACTTTGAAATGTAAGTGCCGCCGCCTCTAGTTGAAATTGGGTCCCTTGTCGCGTTGCTCTGCTAATGGCAACTGGTCTTCTCATTTTTTAATATGAGAATCGAAGCAATCTGACAAGATTGAGTTGGTCAAGCTGGATTGACTGCCGGTGCTGGAAGCTTCGCGGAAAGGGTCTGCACCCACCGGAAAGTGGCTAAAGTCCTAGGATGCTGTCCATGCCAGCGTGGAAAGGGGTGGAACCCTGTCAAAAGTCCCAACAGTTGGTCGATACGCCAATCTTCAGCTGCTACGCTAACATGATCCGTTTGCCAGCCTCTACGGTTTAAGGGGTTCCTAAGTATCACTGTTCCGAGATTTAAGAAGAGAGAATTCTTACGAGAAGACGTCGAGTGGGCCTGCTTGTGCGCTCGGCAGCTGAGCAGCTTTGGGGGCAAGGTGTCTTTTCTACGGATATGCAAGCGTGAAGCACACTCCCTTTTTTTTCATTCATGAAAGTGGATGTCCCTCACAAGCGGAGACAGTGCATTGAAGCGTTCCTTTCGTACGACGTAATGATCGTCTGCTCTATAACATTTGAAACCTTCGTCTCCACGCACGAAGACTCTGCGCAGACACGAAAACGTTTTTCTCAGGGCGAATGATCTGGATGTCTTAGACTCTCAAGGACAGCTTCCCTAAGCCCCCTCTTTTAGGCCCCAGTGGCTTCGCTTCCCGTGCCTATTCGCATCCAGACTTCAAGCTTTGTGTTTGCAGCACCCGGTGTCAGCGCCGGCTCAAAGCGGAGCTGATGCGGAACTTGTCCCTGCACGGAGGAGACGTCTCCGTGCACTCGCAGGTGGTCTCAAGCACCGGCTTAGTCGACCGGTTGCGTCTGCGGGATGCCCCGCCTGGTCGAAAGCGCTGCTCCAGCATCTTTTTGAATACCGGTCTTAAGATTTCTTGAAGGAGGACTGTGTTTGCTAGTACGGCACGATTCACAGGCGTTCCACCTTGCTCGTCTCCGCAATTGACCGGTTGCTGAAATGTCTGCCGTTTAGCCGAGGACCGATGAAGTCCTTGTTAAGCGGTTCAACATGGTATGTGATCAGCTTGAGTGCGATATTCAAGGAGGACGGAACGAGCAGCTAGATCCCACATCATTTGCCTCGACTCTGAACCAGTAATGGCCTCCGCAACCCCGGGCCAAGTCCCTCTGAAAGATGGTTCGTCTCTTTCAGAGTGACCACTGCTTTGAATCCGGCGAGCAAATCAGCGAGTTCTTTGGAGTGATCGTGGGGGACAGCAAGCTCTCCACCTGCTTAAAACGAGCGTCCAACAGGCGCTGGGGCGGTCCCTTGAAAGGTGTTGATCCTTTCCTTCTCATCATCCCTCGTCATTTCCCGGATTAAGATCTTCTGTACATTGAAGCCAAACAGCTTTAACCAACACCTAATCATCGATGATATGGTCCCTCGCTTTGCCCTCGCCCAGTACCGCGGCCACGTGCTGCTCAAGGAGCTTCAGAACCTGGCCGTGCCTCTGAAAGAGGCGCTCCCCCCCCTGGGCCCCAACTCCGAAAACGGCCCCCCCAACGTGCTCGAGTATCGCAAAAAGCCCACTTACCCCGGGGCGTTCGGGACGCTGTACGAGGCCGTCACGCAAGTGGGCGCCCCGCTTCTAGTCCTCGCCGTCGGCGTCTTCTGCAGCGTCGCTGCGCTGACAACCATCAACACACTGTAAAATAAGGGCAAGTATCGGTGATAAACTTACGATTCCAGTGCCAGCGCTTTCGGCCCTCTGCTTAGTACTGTCCGACAGGGTGCACAGTTTTTACTGATGGAAATAAGTCTGCTTGGTGGAAAGAGGCGCACTTTCGACAGCCGAGTAAATATATGGGGAGAAGAAGTAGGTCGATACGATTTCTTATTTAAGTTAGCCACTTGTAAGCGTCAAAAGGGCGAGTTAATTTCTGTAGGAAGAGGCAGACGGATCCACAACAAAGCATGCAGGGATCGCAGACAAGAAGTCGCACCCTTGGCTACAGCTCTAGCAGTCTAGGCCGTTGGCTTCAGTCGTCAAACGTGGACAGGAACGTATATACGATAGTGTGAGGTGAAAAGGAGTCGGGGTCATGATGTTAAATGCATCCCGGCTTTTGCACACAGAATTTGATATTTGGCTATATGCCATAGAGTGTCATATGCAGATTCCGTTACGTGACAGTGACTGTACGACGGCTGCCGCAATTGCCAAGTTGGGCAAATGCATGCACTGAATAAGGCTTATGCGCGATATGACCGGGTGCCGGCCCGGCCCGGCCCGGTCCGGTTTCGCTTGGCGCGCCATGCCGCCCTCACCGTACATGCGGCATCGCCGGAGTTGGTCAAGCGAGTTCTGAAGAACCATAGTTGAAGCCTTGAAGGACTCTGTACAAGCAGGAGTATGCCCTCAACATTCAGGTTGCATGAATGATGATTGATGTTTTCTTCTTACGCGTACAATCAATCCTTTCCGACTCAACAGCTAGTGGATTCTGAATACGAAATGCATCATTGCATGGTCACCGTCCCGGTGACCGTACAGTACTGGCCACTGCCACAAGGAATCGAGAGGACTGCAGGAAACTGGCCGATATGCAGTGGGATTACATGGATGAGCAACCCTCCTCATTCTGAGACTCAGTGGCAGATCAGAGAGCCGTGACGGTCGTCCTTGTTTGAACGAACCGAAGCAGCTCTAAACCAATCAAGGTTGTTCGCGAGCTAGGAAACAGGCGTGAAGGGGTTTCTAGCCTTTTGATTGGGAGGTGAGCTTGAACCAGTCCGTGTTATAATCAGCTTCATGAAGACATCCGGCTTGAGTTATAGATCCACAGTCACGTAACTCAGAATGAAACGTGTAACGGAGTACCCTGCGCGCGTGCTAGAGGGAAAGCAAGAACCAAGATATCCGTCTTGCTCACTGCAAGTGGTCCTCTTGAGGTTGGGCCCAGAGTCAGAGCGGCACTTCTGGCAGGCCTTGGCCCCCGAGTTGGGAGCGATGCTCAGATCTGGGCATGGCTTGCAGGTAGAAGTCTTGGCGGATCCCCCTCTGGCGTAAGTCCCCGGGCCGCAGATGGCACAGTCACGGCCCGCATGACCGGGCGCACATGATGCACAGCTGGCGGCGCCCGCTCCGGATGTGAAGCCAAGGCGCAGGGCTGGCAGGTTGTATTGGCGGGGCATCCCCCAGGCCGCGAGAATGTGTTTTTGGTGCAAACGTTGCAGTTGCTGCCACCTGTGCCGCGGGGGCAGACGCAACCTGGGAAGGGAATTTGAAAAGGTGAAGGAGAGTGAGAGAGTTGACCAATGTAATCAGGGAGGGGATATTTATACATGTTGTGAATGGAGGAGCTTTCTGGGTTCCTCTTGCCGTCGAGCTGGCTGTTGCACGTCAACCATCGTACCACAAGATCTAGTATTTGCCAGCCAAAGACAGCTATCATCAATGCTTCAGGCAGCCACTGCCGAAACTTGTTGTGGTAGAAGTAGTCAATTGGTGCCTTTTGGTGACTCATGGACGGGCAGCCTGGCTGAACCAACATACAGTCACGATCTGTGCATTGCAACCAGGAGAAAGGCAGCAATGCAACGATCTGGTTAGACGACCTACTTGACATTAGGAACGGCTACAACGTCACCCTTTTGCTAGCTTTCCATACTTGCGAACAGAAGAACTTTGCGAAGAGAAGCATAAGATGCGAAAATTGCCTCATGCAGGAGTTTGTTTATACTATACATTTTGAAAGAGGGTCTAGGCGAGCCACCAGTGCTTCTAAAGCTGAAGCTAGCTCTAGCACTCTCTTAATTACAAGCGACCCAGTTCACTTGCTACTTCCTGCGAGCGTCAATCATGAGTGTCTAACCCCAAAACTCTGACGTAATATTGCAGAAAATTTGCAGCTGCAGCCGTCGTTTGCAAACAACAAAACTACAATCTAAACTGCAAAGCTCGCTGGGTTCCATGCATCAAAGCAAACAACGAAGACCTAGTAGAAAGACAATGAAAGACCCGGGAGGTTTGGGGCCAATCACCAGCTCGCATGACCGCAAGCAGCGTTCTCGACACATGGTCAGCAAGCTCCTGCATGGTCGAGGTTGGCTTCAACGAGCTCGCTGGCGTCCGGAAGGGAGCCGGAAGGCTGGCTGCGGAGGCGTCAAGATCGCCCTGAACCAGGCGTGCGGATGCGTGGCCCGCTCCCAGCAGGACTCCTGCGGAGATCACGAACAGCAGCGCAAGAGTAACGCACTTCATCGTGCTGCTGGACGTCAAACGAAAGGGCTGGCGTAGGGAGTCCGAAAGGAGCTAGGGACAAAGTCGAGGTTGTGAGCGGTGCGATGAATGGTTTGAAGTTCTGTTTTTGTAATCTGAAAGCGGTTCAATTACGCTGGATTGCGTGGTGCTACCGAGCGAGTAGAAGGACCCCGTCCAGAGCTCCCTCCGCCGACTACGGATGACGTCATCTCCAGGGTCAGAGCTCCCCCCAGTGCAGACAGGCGCCCGGTACATCAGCGTCTTGGAACCCCGGCACAGAGCCCTGAGCGCCGTCCCATCTCGGAGCGGCTAACTGTTCCAGTGCAGGGGGAGCGGGTGCGGGTCGCAGACCGCCTCGGGCCAACCAACCGGTCCAATCTGCAAAATCGTTTAGGCACCCCTAACCCTTCTCCCCCTACAGGGCCTATCGAGTCTAGCCCCGGGCATCGATTGCTGGCTTTGGCCGCAGAAACAGAGGACCGGGAGGCGATCGAGCTGGGCAGCCAACTCGAAGGGTTCCCCTCCCCGACACTCGCCCCCCGATCCCGAGTTCGAGTTCGGTCCCGTTACCCAGATGAGAGCGCTCAGCCCAAGCGCTCCCGGTTTGATCAGCCCCTTGCAGACTCCTCGGCACTCGGAGCCGAGCTTCTTTACATCTCCGCTCAGCGTCGCCTGCAGCAGCTGCAGCTTATCGCAAAGACTTGGGGTTTGCACTGCGACGACCCCGATAACATTTGTCTGGGGCGGTCGAGGGACTTGAGTTGGATGGAGAACATTCAGGCGGAGATTGCGGAAGCAGAGGCGACAGTCGCTAGCACCAAGCATGGAAGGCAGACTTCGCAAAGGCGCGGGAAGTGGTGCAGGCGAAAGCCGCCGCAGTGTCCTCTGTGTCCACAGTGACTCTCGGGGCGGAGTTTAAGCCGCTCAAAGGGAAGCGCCCCGCGAACAGGCGCGGGGGCAAGGGTAAGAAAGGGGCTTCGCGCCCCTTCTCGGGAAAAAGGGATGTGGGACAAAACGGCTCCAGAACGACCCCTCTGAAGAGGTCGTCCACAACTTCTACTTCAGTCGTCACTACGGCTGCGATTTCGACCTCCATCCGGACGGTCTCCCGGAAGTCGCGCTGGGACGTCTGATCTTCTTCGCCTTCGTTTTCTCTACAAACAGTAAGTCTCTTTTCCTTCTCGCTCCGGGACAAGCTCTCAGCGAGGGGATAGAGAATACAGTTGTGCTCTCCGAATACTCCCGCCCTCTGCGGAAGTCCCACCAGGATTGCGCGCGTATAAGATTGTCACACGTGGCATGAAGACACTTGCTGCTGCAGGGACAGGTGTGCGCGCTAAGCCGCGGCGCGGTATAAGTTCGACTTGCAGAGTGCGGAGTCTCCGTCTTTCAGGGTTTAGCACAGGGAATCTTTAGTGACCACGCGCAACTCCGGAGAGCCGCACGACGGCTTACTCGATGTCGGAGTACCGTAGATCGATAGGCAGGAACCCGACCGTTAGTAGATACAAGTCGAAAGGCCTCGCAGAGAGAGAAGTTAGCTCTCTGCATTAGTAGCGCCGATTGGGCAAACTTAATTCAATATCTCATTGAGAACCTGCGCTAAGATTTGCTTGGTCTATCGTGCAGGTTCTCTACGGGGCCTCCTTCCGGAGTCTTCCCCGAGTCCCGGCGACCCAGTCATTGTGGCGCGCAAAGATGTAGTGCGCGCGCAGATTTGGAAGTCTGTCGAACAATCTAGAGTATTTGATAAAAGGAAGCTTCTAGTTACTAGCTACGTGGCATACATGCCTTACTTTCTAGAACGTTCATATGCATTATGGTCTACAGTAGCGAAATAGACTGGGTACGTCACCTTCTATAAGCTATAAGATGTAGAAGGATGTTTGCAGACTGAGCACAGACCATGACTTTGATAGGAAGGCGCATAAGCTATCGTTCAGCTTAGGACTATAAAAGGACTGCCGAGATCCTTGTGGACGTCTCATTTCTCATTTGTAAAGATCCGTATTCCCGTTCACACAGCTTCCGAAAAAGTTTTCGCTTCCGCACATACTTGTTTGATAGCAGACTTTGGTAGTCACACATACATAAATAAGGGTCTTTTAGACCTGGGGGAAAGGCCGCACAACACTTCGGCTAGAATCGATAGAAGTTTTGAAAACTTTGCAGAACTTTAGCTCATTCCTTGTGTTTTTTCAGATTTCCTAGCTTTTGGGGTAGAGCGCAGAGGCGCTAAGCAGAGCAGGAACAGGGGATCCGCAGCAGCACAGCCCAAGGGGCTAGTGCGCTGTGTAAAGCACTAAGACATTCTGTGTGGCTTTACTAAAGGCAGGACGCCTTGTTATATCTCAGGTATTGTTGCCCCTCATTGCATGGGTGCTGCGTGACTACTGTCGCTGCGCACAGTCTCCGTAGGAAGAATGCTCATGGCCATGATCAGGGAAGTACCCTTGTGATGGTATGACATGAGATGCGCCTCCCCGAGCACAAGTTTGAAGTGCATTGCTTGTATGAGTGATTGAATGAACCGGGATGATGAACTTATGAAAGCTTCGCACATGTAATTGCAGCCTAAAAGCTGCTAAAAGCAAGTGGTATGGGACACTTGTGCATTTGCTGAGAGCTACTAGGTTCCGGAGAGCTATGGCCTGAAAGGCACGCTACGCACACAAATTCCGCTGCGCAGGCGACTTCAAGTTGCGGCGGCTGAGCGCGCAGGCCTTATAAGCCATGGCCGCGTCGCTCCGCACGCGCTAGTGCGCCGAAACTCGATCGCCCCTGCCACGTGGCACTTAAACCCCGAGAGTGGGCAGTGGCCAGAGGGGGGTGTTCTCTAGAGAATACATGGGCCCTACTGTAGTAACTGCACGGTCTGCCGACCTGTACGGTCAAGCCTGCCGAACTTTAACCCTAGCAAAGACCGTGACGGCGGCGGTCGACATCATTGCTTAATTAGTTGGCGAGACCATGTGTACTAGCGCGGCCGCGCCGCCCGGCCTCACAGAGTTAAGTTACCTGACCGAACAGCGCCGGTTCTCAGGGTCAGGTCAGGTCATGCAGTTCTTGCCTTCTATGCTTTTAGTAAATGTAAGATTGAATCTGCAAGGACTCGGCCCTGGAACCGGCATTTTTTGGGTTCGGAAATTCCAGATTCCAAGCGTCAAATAAGCCGATATTCCAGATTCCTGAGATCCAAAAATGCCAGATTCCTTAAAAATGCTTCAAAATTTCCGGAAAAAGCTCTTGGTTTTGGAGGATTTCTAGATGCCACATTCCAGTTTTCCGTGATTCTCTTAAATTTTTAGAGATGCCAAATTCCTTCAAAAAATTTAGGCCGTATGCCAGATTCCTGGCCCCAAAATATGGAAAATGCCGATGCCAAGATTCCGGTTCCAGGGCCGAAAGGACGATCGATGAACACGGCCCGCTCAGGCTAGCACTTAGCTTTCATTGCACATTATCATTTCAGGATCGGCTGGGACGTCCTAAACATATATATATATCCACGAAGCCAGCAGCTGCAGCAAACGGTGGGGGATCAGCGCTGAGTCATCATCGAGCGACCCGATTCTATATAACATCCAGCAATCCAGGCGACTCCGGATCAAAGCCGAGGGATGCACCTGAGGCTGATTGTGACGGGATGGGATTTGGCTGTGTATCCACCCTGCCAGCTCGTTGATCCGTTGAGATCTTGCATGCCAGTGAGTTGAAAGATCTGATCCTGTTTTGAAGCTCTAAGATCAGACTTCAAATCTGAGAGAGTCTCTAGTGAGGATGCTAAATATAACCAGCTTCAACATTGCATACATGAAACTATGAGGATTGGTTCGACTTCCAATGCTTGATGACTGACACCATGAATCGCTCCGCTGCAAACGTCAGCCCTAAATCGCCGCTTGAGATTTCCCTTTCTGAGGACTGGCTGCGGCAACCTGTCATCGTTGCTGTTATAGTACTGGTGGGCTTTTGTGTCTTCGTGGCCATTCCGTATAGCATGGGAGGGTTGGAGGGCGGAGGAGCCGGCTACTCAACAGCGATTTCAACTCACTCCGCTGTGCGTCAAGGGCTCCACATGCTGGCGGGCAGAGGGTTTGACGTAAAAGGTGGGGCTCAAGATTAGTCCAGGCCCTTCTAGCCTACTTGTCTGGGTGAATCAAGATCAAATAAGAGATGCTCCTTTTCATCCTTCTTCGCATAGAATGACTTCTGAGCACCCTGATTAAAGCTAATTCAAAATGCTTAAATAAGGGCCTCACTTGATTGCTTATGCCTTGTTGCAAGCTGCATTGCAGTTTCTGAGTAGGTCGAACTAGTGTAGTAACCTGGTCGTTCATCAAGAGGAGGCTCACACCGGATCTAGGATCCAAAGCTAAATTTCAGGGCAGTCAAGCCTCCACTTTAACCAATCTGCAAAGATTACAGATGTACAACATCTTATAGACAGAGTATCTTGCAAGATGAGAAGCTCGCTAGCTGTGTCTGGGTACCTCTTCTTCTCTAACAAATGCTTGATCTCTTATACAAAAGGTACCGTTTTGCCATTCTGCTTCATCCAGACGTGCTCTGCCTCAACACTGTTGCTTTGATGTAGCGCCGTACGATGCTGAGGCGCAGCATGAGCAGCTTCTCAAACAAGCGATTCAAACCATGGAGGAAAATATTGTTCGGAGGGAGGGCTATGTAAGCCCCTGGCACAGCGGCCACATCAAAGACCAGAAGGTGAGAGCACTGATCAGGAGAAAGGAAACATCGAATGTGAATCCTGATCAAAGCGTAACTGGTAGGGTGCTAGCATGATTACTTTGTTTCAGGCTATCACTTTTGTCTGCAAGTCTTGAAACTTTACGAACTACTTGGAGGCCTCAAGGGGTCCTCCTTGCAACCCACGATCTCTCTGCTTCCTGAAAATGACAAAGCATACTGATTCACATGGATCAGCCAGCTAGCTTTGTAGCCTCAGTATGATCAGAAGACAAATTCGTCCGAAGAGTCTGGTCTTGTCAGACGGGCTCATTTGATTGAAATGTCAAGGCCCTCCAGTGAGACTTGGAACAATATGCTTTTGATCACTGGACGGCTTGATATGTACTTGAAAAGTGGTTGACAATCACGGCAGACCTTCTGACACTGGCATCCGCACCCTCATTGGCACGGGTGGAGCATCTTAGAACCGTGTCTATTGCAGGAGGTCTACCTGAAGGAGCTGCTGGAGTACTGGGTGCCCATCTATCCATGCTACCGCGAAGTCCGCTACGGTCTGATGGGCGATGGCGGCAAGTGGTTGTGCAATGCGCACCGGCTCAACGAGCAAAGCGTCATCTACAGCATAGGGAGCAATGCGCAGACGGACTTCGAAATGGAACTGATCGGTGCCACTGGAGCGGAGGTCCACGTCTTCGATTGCACATTGAAGGAGGCAGACGTGGTCAAAGTGTCCAGCCTGTCCCCGCTACTGTTCTTCCACCCCTGGTGCCTCGCAGAGAAAACGAATCTGGCAAGTGACGTGTGCGACATTTGAGTTCGCCTCCAAAGCTGTTCCACTGCAGTGCGCTGGTTGGAAGTGCGGTGTACGTTAGGGACCGACCGATGGTTCAACATGAAGGAGAAATCAGATTGCGTACTCTTACGTTCGGACCTGCAGTTGTCGACAACCTGAGGATCAATGTCAAAAAACTGCGTGGACGCTGTAAATCTGGAGTCCACAGTGAAGCGTGACTTGAATCCACCTTTTGGCTGTGGCGAAGACATTTGCACCTGATCACACCTTTGTATCACTGACAAAGTCCGCCCACATGGTTGTGTGCAGGAGAAAAACGTTTACAGCCTGACGGACATTATGTTCAACCTCGGCCACCCGTTTCTGGACGTGCTGAAAGTTGACTGCGAGAGATGCGAGTTTACCAGCTTCAAGTCCTTCTTGTCACGCCTGGTCTATGAGCGCTCCAATCCACCTGTCGGTCAGTTTCTGGTGGAGACCCATAACGATGCCAGAGACGACCACAAACTTGTTGACACGTTCCTGAGGGAGTTGGAGACCGCGGGGTTTCGGCTGTTCCATATGGAACCCAATTGGCGCTGGTGGCCGCAAGGCGCCGAATGGGCGTTTGTGAATCCGTCAAGATTGAAATAGGCGAAGCGTGTAAGCATCAATGTCGCATCCCAAGTTGGTCAATCAAAAGGAACAGTTTGAATAGGAAGCAGAAGTACAGACGCCCCCGATCTGCCCACGTACACAAAGCAGCCTACTCGTGAAAAAAACTGAGCCACGCAAAAACGTTTGTTGTTTGGATTAGCTGATTGACCACAGCCATTTTGACGGTATCCAAAGCCTCGATCCAGATAAATGATTTAGTCATACGTGGAAGGTCACACATTTATCGTTTAGTACGTTTTAAATATAGTAGCGAGTATTGAACACCATGTGCAGGGCCGGGTGTATTGTTTTAAGCGACCTTTGGCTGGACTAGGTTCGATCAAAATAAAGCGGAACAGGCTCGTATATTCACTCTCATGGACATAGTTCCCTTGTCTATAAAGGATTCAACTTAACACTAGTTGCGCCTTCATGTATAATATGCTGCAAATTTGAAGACAGAATACGCTCACCATTCTAAGCATGTTCGGAGAGCCTTGATTCGCGGAGCAAAAGTTGAAAACGAGAGCCTCTGCCACGTTACGTCGATGGACTAGATATTCCACTCATGATGGTACATCAAGTTCAATATTATGTTGAAGCTCATACGTCCAGACTCACCAGGCTACCGCGGCTCAGCGGGCCATTTTACATTGTCTTATGCTTACGGCCTACCCTATGCGTTCATTTGGCCAAATATACATGCACTGAGTCAGCAGGTTACCAGGACTCGGATGCATCAGAAATCACCGGGGTAAAGGCCATTGAGCCACCGTGACGGCGTCCGCCTGAATAACTCGGTGTACATGAGGACTTACTAGCTGGCCATCTCAGTTCTCTCTAAAGTTCTCTAAGTTTTAAATCCGTCATACACGATCAGTAGGTAGCGGACGTTGTCTTCTCAAGCGGGCCCCCCTAGCTAAGTTGGTGTCCAACGATTTGCTGTCAGGCGGCTAGTAAGCAACCTCAACGTCTCCACTGTCAAGCTGTTCACTATATGCTCGAAAAGAACGGCTCGCTGTGATTAGATTGTTAGCCTGGGGACTCACTTGCACTCCGTTTGCAGTACATCAGCGGACTGTGAGGTTGAAGTTTCTTTGCATGCCGCTATAAAAGGTCCCCGAGAAGCGTGAACGACACAAGAGCAGGGCAGCTAGCGAGCTAGGCGGCTACCATGCAGCAAGCTCTAAACGTTGCAAACCGAACGACCTTCAATATCTAGCGGCCCAGATCCGCCTCGCGCTGGGCCAGAAAAGCTTCCGCGAGTCAAATTATCATGCTCAATTAACTCTATAAATAAGGAGTCTGCACGTGACGCAAAAGAAATTTCAAGCGCCGAAAGCGGCGCGCGCGCGCCGCTCGGCCATCAAGGTCACCGGCCGCGTACGCTCAAGGACAATCAAGCTTTACTTAATTTTGTTTTGATTGGCATGCCGATGCTCATCCTTAGTGATCGGCGGTGTCGTTTCAGGCCTGCACGTGAGAGATTATTATTATTCAAACAAGCTGCCGCACTTGCTGACCCACCGTGACTTCACGCCCGAGTTGCTTGAACGCACCCCGGCGCCTCGCATGCTGTTCGTGCACAAGCGACTACACGATGCTCAAAATCATGCGCCATGGCACGTACTCGGCTATACGTATCCGCTTAATCATGAACCCCGTATGCAAAGTTCAGTAGCACGTACCATGCTTGCGTAAGTGAGATTTGATATCAAATAATGCCGAATTTGGGAATCTGCACATTGATGCACTAGCGAAGATTCTCGATCGAGCGCACGTTAATTCATCAATTTGCGCTTGAGTTCGGCCGTCCTGCTTAAGCGCCGCGCCAACTTGAAGCTGGTGACTTGATTCAATCCGCAACAAGCGCTCAGATCACTGTTCATTACTGCCTTCCTCCCGAATAAGATGAAAGGCCCGACGAACTTGAGAATTCAACTGTCAGGCGACTCTTACAAACAACCTTGCCTGGAATTATATGAGATCGCGAACTTGAACAACTTCGTGAGGAATAAGTCACAGCTTTGGGACAACCACCGACCATTAGAAGAGCCTTTCTGCACGTCTGTACAAGAACCACGGATTGGAAACCACGCAAGAGTGTCGTCAAAGCCGTAAGGGAAGAATTAATCGAATTTGTCTCTCAATTCTTTCAACACAAAGAGCTCGTTCACTTGGCAATACTGCAGTACACGAGATCTTTCATTGGGGTACTTCACGCTGAGGTTGTATCTGCGGGTAATCTCGTACTCAATCTTCTGTTGAGCGGGTGTAAATCTCGACGGATCCTGCTTCGTTTTCACTAGATACATAGACCGATTGTAGCTAAGCCTTTCGATCGGCTTCTCTCGCCACATCTCCTTCTGCAGTTTCTCTGGATTGAAATGCGTGTCGAGAGCGAGAAGGCGGCTATACCAGTAGTCCGGCGCGCAAGCCAGCTCCGCTGTCTGATTCAGCGCCGACATCATGGTCCTCATTGTCCCCACCAAGTGCCGATCTTGAAATCCGCCATAGTCTTCTTCGATGGGCATATAAACCTGCCCATCTTCTATCGAGTCAAAGATGTTCTGATGCTCGCACAGGTATAGCTCGTCAGGCCGCGAGTAAACGACGTAGTCGTACTTATCCAGCAGGTTGAAGTACGCCAGCTTTTGCTGCGTGAACCAGCGGTACGCGAGGATGATCCCAGTGGCGGTTCCGTGTCTGCAACCCCCCAGGCCCCCCATGAAAAACCCTTGAACCCCGCACACTTTTCGCCACGTGCTGTTGCCAGCCGGATTATCAGTGCACGTCGTGGCAACCTCGTCCCAGACCAGCCCCCAGTCCGCGTACTCGGGCACCGTCCAGTCGTATTGGGCGACGCGGTGAAGAAGTGTATCCTTACGATCCCCGCTGAAACATAGCGCCAGGTGTGCGTTGTACGGTTGCAGCAGATTCTTCACGAGGGACCGCCATGCCAGCTCCCCGCCGCGGGCCTGACCAAAGAGAACCACGAGGATGCGCGGGCGCTGCATCTCTTTCCGCATCCATAAATACGTCCGCTCAAGGTCTTTACTAAGCGAGTTCCGTAAGGTGCTCCTTCGAGAAGATTCAGGTGCGTCAATATTCCTAGCCGGAACTGGCGACGGGGCCTCCCGATGCTGGCGCCCGGCATCTTTGATATGAGGGTTCGCACCTTCGCCCGCGTGTTGGGATACAATCACCTGGAGTTGGGCCGCAATATCATACAGCGTCGAAGTGCTGAGACAAGATCGGCACGGGACAGATTAGAACCTTGGAAGTAACAGCGGCAGTGCATGCTAAGACTAAAACAGTAGATGCTACTTCCCGTTACGACTTGTGGAGCCGAACTCTTGTTGTAGGAGATTTTTGAGAAGCGAAAAAGTTCGCCCATGGAAGGAAGGTCTCATCGGTTAAGTAAACATGACAGAATGTTTCATCTTTTCACCAAAAATCTTTTGGAAGCAAGGCCGCCCGTCAATGGCACAGTCAATTGCCGGTTTTCAATTGCGGAAGTTTCAAGGGGTTTCGTGTAAGCTAGTAGCTTCGAACGGAGCGGAAGGAGATCGTAGAACCAAATGTCTTGAGAATTGACCCAAAGGAGCAAAACTATTAGAGCTCCACTTTACGGTCTGCTAGACCTGCGTAACTTGTCAGGCCATAGATAAAAAATTACCGGTGAGGGGAAGGATGGCGAGCCCGTACAGAAGTATCAATTACTGACTTGGGAGCTGGTAGCCAGTAAGAGCAGGGTCCGGCCAGATGCGCAAGGGCCATAATGTCCAACCATGCATAAACTCCTGGTCCAGAAGGTCTACTTTCAACATTCACTCCGCACTGCTTATGGCGCAATCTTTATCAGCTTCATTGTCTTTTCCTTATTGTGATTTGGACACAACGTAACAAGTGATGGTGGTGAGACGTACACATATTGCGGTGTTCCGCCACTACTAAAAAGACGCACAGCCCAAAAAAGCACCGGTTTCGAATTACGAAGCTACTAAAAGATCTGCATTCCAAGCCTGATGCAGCTTTTTGTTGGATCTATTTTTCGGAGCTAGGCCACACTTGTGATCAGTCGCCAGGAAAAGTCAAACCAGAGAGCACTTCCAGCCACCCGGGAACTGTATACTCGTATCAAGGAAAGGATCCAATGACGTCACTTAACTTTGGGGCAGTAGAATACTGTAGTTCTAACATCATTTCGTGTCTCCCTTGCACAATCTTTTGAGAAACAGGATCAAAATTTATTTTGCGCCGCTTGCTCACCTTTGTGTCTTTACTCGAATCGGAGCTCTGTTCAAGCCAGCATCCTTCAGCTCCAGCAGGCTCTCAACGACGTCATCGACGTAAGCAAATGTGCGACGCCTATTTGCCCCACGCAAAGAGACAGATATGTACGCTGGATTATTGATTCCTTGTTGGATCAGATCTCGTATGGCCAAATCAGCAGCCGGCGTGGCCCCAAGCAAGACATAATCGTGAGGGCCATATGCACAGTCTATTCTTAACACGCCAACTTTAAAATCCGCCGTCTTTTCCGAAGTGGCTTCGTTTTCTCCCATAGCTTTCATCCAATTATGGGTGTTCGCTCCAGTTATGACAGGAGGCGGCAATATTCTGGACATATACCAGCCCGTTGGTATTGCTGCTGCCACATAGATATAATTGGGTATGCCGTTCCGCTTGCAGGAGTTCAAAGACAGTGTATTAATCAGGACGTTATCATCAAAGTACGGATCCGTGCCATCTTGGTCGTCAGCGACTCCCGTCATAATAGCAAGGTGGTAGACATAGTCGGCTCCACGCAGGTATCTTTCCGAGCTCTCCCCTATCCTGAGGTCTGCATGACAGAAGTCTCGAGAGACGTTGATAGCCCAGGAACCATTTTCAATTTGGAGGTTTCGTAGCTGACCCCGCCATAGGTTATCGATAACTTTGATCTGCTCGCTCGGGACTACTCCGCTAAGCTTCTTGACCAGATTGCTGCCGATAAAACCTGCACCACCGGTTACTATGAAGCGCGGCCGGGGCGTGTCTGGTTGAAAGAGACCATGAGCTTCGCCGTGGAAGGGACACCCCTTGCCAGCAATGTCTGGGAAGTCTGAATGCAGGATATCTCCCGCAGCTTCTGCTGCTGAATAGATCCGTTTGCTTGTGTATTTTTGATCAGGTTTCTGGGCTGGTTCAAAGTGTAGCCCTTGAAATACATTTTGCGCTTCCAGACTCCACCTGGAAGGTGGGCTCAAAAGCAGGGTGGAGGGCTCTGCCGCGTCCCGGAATCGCTGCAAGCCCAAGAAAAGAATACTGAGGGTCACCCCGAGGGGCAAGACGTAACCTTGCGAGAGACCCATTGACCTGTAAGCTTCAACACATTTGCAGGCTAGCTTGCAATGCTTTCTCTTGCCTTGCAGCCTTACAAATACGAGAGACAACCTTCCATCCCCGTGCGTGTGGCAATGCTGTTTTGTGACGTGTAATAGCAGGAAGCTTGCGGTGTGACACAAGCGCAGGCCATAACAAGTGAAGAGATGCTCTAAACCAAAAATAAGGACCAGTGGGCCTAAATGTATCTAGCTTAGTCAAGCGGCGCGCCGGCCTTGGACGCACTGATTGAGAAGTCAACCGATCCGTTCAGGAGCAGATCAAGCAGCTGGACGTGGTATATGACAGACCAATAGGCTCAGACTTCACTCCCATGCCAGACCTGATCAACAAGATTGTGCAATGCGGAGGTTCAGTCTAGTCAGCTCTTCCCTCACTCAGACTACGACTTCAAGTTGCAGATAGCTAGCTTCTGGGACGTCCTGTTAAAAATACCGGTATAACGTGTAGACTGTCCAATTGGGCTGCACCGGGGGCTGCACCAACAACAAAGATCTATTTCTGCAGCTCCTTATCGTCTTGTACTCAAAATCCCTTACTTACCGTAATCGGCTAAGAATGCATTGGAACCGCCGTGTCTGCAAACATGTGAGGGTTGAAACTCCGCAAGTGCATTGAATCTTAAGAAATTTCTCGACTCCAAAGCAAACGAACGAATCTACGATAATGACGTGACGCACGAATGCAGCCCGGCCGCGGAAGGACGTATTTCATGCGGCCCCAATGTCGGCGGGCCGGAGACGAAGTGCTTCATGCCTGTGATTGTTTCAGTCAACATAATCATGACCACAACTTTGTGACCGCACAATATCAATTTTGAATAATTACTCAAGCTTTTAAGCTCGACAGATCCATTGAACCTTCAACCGGTCATGTCATTCTGTCATGCAGCGGCCTCCCCCAGTCGTACTGCAGATTCACTGAACCAGGTCCGGCGCATAAGGCATTTGACGGTCGCGATCGACACAATTGACGTCATCTATTTTATACTACTAGTGTCTACTAGTGATCGCAATCGTCAGCTCACGTGCAGGTGTACGCAGATCGACGACATACCTAACTTAATATCACAAATGTACGCTTACAGCGCATGCGGCCAGCTTGGGCCTCGCGGCCGGCGCACCGCTAACCCTTCCTACTTTTTACTGAACTTCTCAGCACACGCCATACCTAGAATATTGCCCTGTTTCTACATAAATGGCCGTTTATCGTCGAAACCGGTGAATTTGGTGACGGGAGCGCGGGCAAGTGCGGCAGAATCTTGTGACGGATTAGCACGTACAGCACTTTATCGAACGGAATCTACAGCCAAATGACGAGCCCGTCGAAAATGACTCCTCGGGAGTTCTCGATTGAGCGACCTTCCATGCTAATATATGTACATCTCTGTCGCCGGACTTTACAACTCAGGAAAAGGTGGATGAAAGAGAATTCGTATCGATCTGTTTTAACCGTACAGTCAACAGTAACCTACCGTAATTTTACCAATCGGTATAAGTTTGATTGACCTGGTAGGCAATCCCGGTAGACTGTACTGAAAGCAAACCGACCACTATACCCAGTCCAAAAGCTACCCGGCTACCCGGTAGCTAAGCTCGGTACTTCGTTCCGCGCTTCCGGCAACCGTGGTCCCCGACAATCTGTAGGCGGAGTTCAGTATCACATCGTAGATTATTTTTCAATCTCTAGCTACTGCAACTACCGGTGATAGTCCCATCTGAGTAGGCTGACGTCGCTGTTCGACGGTACGGGTAAAACGACTGAGCCTGGCCGGCCGGCCGGCCGGCCGGCGCGCGAGCCGCTCAGCTAAGGCTTCAATATCATTGAAAGTTGCCGTCTTGCTGCGCCGCGGCCCCGGTCTGCCAGGCGCGGCGGGCAGGTCGAGCCTGGGTCACTATGTACCTACTAAGATGAAGTAATGGCAAAGTAGAGGAGTCCATACTAGGCAAGTAACTACAGTGGTACCCTCGGGAGGCGGCTGGCCGGGGTCTTCGAATGTCGTCTAATCGTCCATCTAACAAAGTGCGTTTAAGGCCGTCTCCGAGTCGGCGTGGAGCAACCCCAAGTAGAGTAGTAGCTCAGCCAATCACAGAGTGTGTTACCTGCATATACTAATAGACGAAGATCATTATGTGCTCACCCCGGTGGGGTAAAAACGGCGCGGGCCGGCACGGTTGTGCAGTCCTAGGGGCATTTAATGATCGAGTGGCACGACTCGTCCTCAGGCAATTACCGATGAGCCGATATTGTGAGGGCGCCGAAGCCTCTGAGGCGGCCGTGAGTCCAAATAAGAAGAATATATAATGGGTTGTTGAGAATATCGCATCAAGCAAACAAGGCTTTTGAGGCCACCAGGAAACTTTCAGCAACAGTGGTCCTCCAGTGGTCAGTCGAAATTGATACGCTGCACAACAGTCTGCGTGTTGTTCGATCGAGCCTTCCGAGCCCGAGCTGTCATTTAGTCATACTACACTGCTAGCATCGCCACTAGCAAGGCCAGCTCAAGGTGAGCAACAATCTGGTAGATCCGCAAATGCGGACTCGAGCTCTACGGAGTCTGTAGATGGAGCTTCAGACCTATGAAGTCATTTCCTGACACTCACCACGATGCGCGGTACTATTTTCCATGCTCCTCATCTGAATTCAACGACCATCAAAATCTGAGGCAACCATCAATCAGTGCCCCTATCTGCGCCTAGTGTGCTGTTTAATTCCAAGCGGCTTGGCTGCTCAGCATCATGGTTGATGCTGCTTGGCTGCCACCGGCGGTGCGCAGAGAGGCCACACAACGCCTTCTTCTGCTCTGCGTCATCACGGCTGTTGTTTTAGGGGGTCCTCTGCTGGTCACCAGTGGCGGCTGTCAGCTGGGGAGTCTTGCGAGCTTTCGAATCGCACAGATCGTCTTGGAGTCGAGTAACAGCGCTCCCGTCACTCCCAGCGGTCTGAGTCAACCAGAAGAGACACGAACTCACGCTTTAGCACTTCTGCGGGCGCAGTCCTGGGGCTCCGCCTTCCACCAAGCAAAGCTGCTGGAGACAGTTGGTTATATGGGCGAGGAGGAGCGGCCCACTGGGCTTTGCTACGAAAACCGATCCATGGCGGATTTCACCATCCAAGCGGAAGATTTAAGAGCACAGAATGTCAGCACCTTTGTGCCCCTCTACTTCAACATTCAGGAAGCGAAGGCCCCCTCTCCCGGCAAACGTGGGCTTGGAGGCAAATACTTCTATATCAGTGTGGAAGGGAGGCCTTGGGCAGATCCTGGCACGGTGGTGCGCCTGCCACAGCCCCTTGTTTGGGATCACAGCAATGGATCTTACACGGTTGCCTTTGAAGTCTATGACGAGGACGTCACGTACAATATCACTGTTTCTCTGTGGCATGCGGGGTATGCGGGGTACCTGGGGAATCTGAGGGATTTCCACTGGGGCGACTGCTGCCCAGCGCTGCCGCAGATGACATTCCTAGAGTCCTTCACCTTTTCTACCAGAATTATGAGGCCTGACCAAGCCAACGCAACAACAGCGCCGAATCACGGACAAAGTGATCAACGGCGAAGAAGTTCACCTCTGGGCTTTATCCCCCATATTCTTTTGAAAGCGAGTGCCCTTCCTGAGCATGACGTGCAAGAACAGAGTCTGCCAGTGAAGCCTTCAATGATGGGTCCTCCAATGCGGATTGGTGCAGCAGACGAAGAGAATCCCGCTTTATATCAAGCAGCACTTGTCTGCCCCGACTCGAGATCTTTCCCAACGTGTCACTCTGCAGGCCGGGGTCGGTGGTTGAACGATTATTGGGAGCCTGCCGACTGCCCCTACACGCAGTTTAGTAATGAAAGCCTGAGGCAATGTGCGGAAAGAAACGGGCCTTTTCACATTACGTTAGTGGGAGATTCGTTGATGCGGGGGCTCTTCTTTGATACGCGGGAGATCTTGTCCGGCAAGCGGCCGGACCAAAGCCAGGCGGGGCACCATGACGAGGAACCGGTGGAAGAGGCGCCCGGCTTCACACTTGAATTCAAGTGGACTCCACACTCGGCAGCTCTGCACCCGCGATTACAGAATGGGGACTTTTTCAGTAACACCTCGTCCGTCCTTGTATTCAACACACTGCAATGGGACCTTGCGAGACCCTCGCCGAGTGGATGATTACCTCGAAGCGACAAGGCGGTTCGTAGACGCGTTGGTCGAAGCGCGGGGTAGGTTCCGCAAGATCATATGGCGGACGGGAGCAGCCGTGCACCACTTTGGCCCCGCCTCTTGCGACGCCAACTGTTCTATGGACGGCTTTATTATTGGCCCGAGGGGCGAACTGTACAATTCTGCGGTTCGCTTCTTGGTGGAGGCAACGCCCGGGGTCGACGTACTAGACATGTGGCAGATTAGTTCAGGGAGGCCTGACTTGCAGCACGCCTTCCACTGGGACGCGAGATATATCAGGCACGCTATCGTGTCTAAAAGCGTAGGTAATGTGCTTTTGAATATGCTGTGCAGCGAAGTAGTTCAAGTTAAGGTTAAGGGCAACTTAGTTGCATGTACGCTTTACTTTTATCTTAATTTACGCTTTACTCCGAGTACCGAGCGTCCGAGTATTGACGGAGTTTCGGATCCTGCTCTGCGCTATCCCGTTATCAATTATCCATGATTACGGCTTGCTTTTCTACTCATTCACCACTTACACGCGAACACCGGACGTTGATGCCCAGCAACTTCAAACCGGCCGCTTCTGCTGCTTGACCAAGGGTGAAATACGGCCGCCAAATCCATTGAAGCCTCAGTGGATCCAAATGTTCACATGGATGCTGCATGGCAGAAAGCGCTACACGAGCGCCTTCGAGCTTCGAGCTTCTAGTGATGGACAACGAGAATCTGATCCCGCTTCGAAGGATATCTAGTGAATTGACTTCAACTAGCTAGGTGCTTGATTCGCGATTACCGGCGTCATATGCAAGTCCCAATGGAAGAATTTGCTCTAGGTTAATCTCACGAGCTGAATCGACTAGCTAGTCTGTACCTTGCGAAGTAAAGGGCATGCTAGATTGCAGCATGTGTTGCCGCTCCATTTGATTGAAAAGTGAGCATGATGTAAGCAGAAGATCCAGCGTACATGAACACGATGCAGATTGTATGCGATGCCCAAGTTTCTGAGGGGTTATTTTCGAACTGTGCAGAAGTTACGATGTTTATGTGAGGTGATATTCTCCTACACGCCGTACTAGGCATATAGTCGTAGGCTTCTCATGGCATATATGATACAAACCGCCGCCGGAATGTCAGTAAATTGCAAAGAGTACAATCAGTCATATGCATTTAGCTTAAAAGAGTGAGGACATTTATTTACTTTGTCATTCGGAACCTCCTTCAGGACGAATGCTGGCAATTGTGCAATTCTGCATGAAACTGCACAGCTCGAAGTCATCACGGTTTGACGGCACACCTTGGCTAAAAAACACTGGCAAGCGGAATCAACTGCAACCCGGTTCACTGAGCGATCAGTGACTGATCGCTCTTGCAGTTGGAAACAGCAAAAGTTTGATGATCGAGAAACAGATGATCCCCCTATTGTGACAAACAACTGTCGAATATGCAGTTAAGGACTTTCTTGACTAATATAGAAATTCACGTGTTCTTGCGTCCATTTCTATATGGGTCCATTTGATGCCCCAAACCTCTGAAATACGTTGGGATCAGAATGAAGGCTTATAGACGTCTAAACTAGATAAACCGCCCTATAGGTGAAGATCAGTGAGCTAGCTTACAGGCGTTATACATGCGCGATATCGATCGAAATGTGAAAATTCTATTCAGAAACTTCTGGACCGATGCAAACGTTACTTCTTCAAGCAGCGGGTCTTTTGGTGTGGATACGCAGACCTTAATGGCTTCAATAGAGTCAGATCACATTCGTATCCAATTCACCGACACAACCTATACTTCCACTTTACTGTCCGGGCCCTTCAAGCTATATCGTCTCAAACGGCAGCAAGACTCCTCCGTGTAGCCAGATCATTCTGCATAATCCTCTGAGTCGTTCCTTCCACAAGAACAGTCATCCTGGGAGTCTTGAGGCACCTCCCTCATACCTTCTCTTATCTTGGCTTGGAAACCAAGGGAAACGTGTAGATTCTCGAGGTGGAATGCCATTGAGCAGTAGATATCTTCCGTCCTCAGCCCTTCTAGTGCCAGCTTAAAACCAGCTTCCGCAATCTTCTGTGCTTCCTCGTCATGTTGTTTGATCCAATCGAGCTTCCTTACTAGATCAGCAAGGTTCGGTTCGACCTCTATTGAATTCACACCGTCCAGTAGGAGCGGGTAAAAGTCGCGAACCCAAGGGGACCGCTGCTTTACAAGCAAAGACCCGGAAAGGAGAACTTTCTCAATGCGGAAGAAGGAAGCACTGTTCCCATCAAGATCGAGTAGATACTTATGGTGCCCGATTGGAGGTTTCCGTACAAATGAAGCATTCAGACCTTTTTCGACGGCCTCGTCGAAAGCCTTGTCCAGGGTGTTCTTGTGACCCAGCACAATACGCGCATCGATCAGGTCGGGCCTTTTGACGCTGGTACTGGCGGCCAAGAATCGTGGCACTTGATACAGGTTCTCCTCGGTTGTGGTTGTCATGCCGGTATTAGCGCCCCAAAAGAAAGCCTTGGGGATCCTGTCTTGCCACGGAGGCACTGAGCACGCCTCCCTGAACAGGTCGCCAGAGAAATACTCCTTGACCAGTGGTGATATGGGCGCCGGAATATCGATGAAAGAAGGGTGCGCGGCAATCGTAAGCCCAGGGATGGCGTCTTTTGCGGTTATAGACGCCCCATCGCCCAACGTAAGCACCAGTTCCACGTCCGGAATCTGGACCTGAGATGAACGAGTACAAGTCCCATTTGAAAGGAAAGCTGGTGTAGGTACGAGACGTGTACTTTCAAGCTTGTTCTGGAGGTTTCTGCCAAATCTGTTGTTTGCCTGTCAGCTTGACTACGCTGAGTTTAGTAAGACCAATAAACGAGTCTGGATTGCAATCTGCAGACGTCTTGGTATCTGGTACTCTGAGGCAGTAGCCGGTAACCGCAACCCAATTGAATTGACGGTTCCTAAGCTTGCTGATTTCTAAGTAGCGGCCTGACCACACTGAACAGCATACCCTTGACTGTGTCGGTTCTCACCTTTCGAAGGGTTGATAGCAGGACGCTGATGTATATGTCAACAAAAGGCCTAGAGTGCCCATCTGCAGGATACGTCTCGGGGAAGGTGTATAGCTTGTTGTTAATTATAGACACGTGTACTATTCTTTCACCATGGATCTCCGTCCATGCTAAGAAGGACTTCTCACTGAGAGGGCGGTGAGTCCATGCCGCATAAGCATCGCGTACAGTCTGTCTGGACGTCGAAGAGCAGTTGTAGGTTGCATTGAAACTGCAACAGCAGGGTGATGAATGTGAAACTGGAATACATGATCAAGCACAAGCCGGCGTTGGATCTGAGCTTTTGAGCGAGCTGTGAAAGGCGAACAAGCACACCTGGTTCAAAGCTGGGATGATTGAGAGTTCAACAAGCTGATATGCTCAACCGTTTGCTACTATAGCTGCCCTATCCTCATCGTCTTAAAAGCTACGAGTCACACTTGTCACACTGATTGAATCAACAATATGCGTCACAGCATGGCTTGAGCATGCTAATCCGTCCACAACCTGCGGTTCTAGTGTTCCAAATACAGCTCACTGTCCGTAGAAATTCAGCTAGAGTAGCACTTGGCTCCGGAGCCTTAGCTTACTTTGGGAAGGTTTCCGGACAGGAACACCTGTCAGGATGCAGCTGCATCTGCGCCACAGTCCTTCCGAGGTGCTGAATGCTGTGTGCCCCGCTCTTTTCCACTTTGAATCCGTACACAGAATCGCCAACGCCCAAGAATTGCCCCAGCCGCTCAGGGACTCTGGTCTGGCCCGAAGGATCCAGAAGAGTAACATTGGCATCATCACAAAACTGGAACCAATGAAAGGGGACGGAGGCATTGCTGGTTCCAGGGCCGGACGCTCGTGCACCCCTGGGACAGTATTTTCCAACCTTCCTGGTTTGTAAACTTGCGCCAACCGCTCCAGGCGGGAGTGCGGTCTGTGCCAGTCGCCAACCAGAGTACGACCCCAACATGAGAAGGTAGACCACACAAGCAATGAGTAAGAGCCCGCAAACTATGGCAAAGCTCACTCGTGACTGCATGTTGCCTCCCAACTGGAATCTGGACGCCATATTGTTGCTGGGAGATGGACTGATACCAGCCTCCGGGAGTTTCAGAAGTCAGCGGCTACGGGGCGGCTACACTAGCTCCAAGTTTAACTCTGTTTGGCACTACTCTTTGGCACGCTCACACGATCGGCCGCGAAAGATATTGCTTGTAGACACAGCGCACGAATGTCTGGGATGTGCCGCGAAGGCGCTACGTACAGGGGGCCGCCCTCTGCATATTTGAATGTATTTCTGTGTATACTTGGTCCGATAAAGAGACCTGTTATCTTGTGCTGACAGCTGTCCTTCTGAGAGGCCCAGCTGCCAGCTCGCAGCTCGCTCGATAATGACAGCAAGAGCGCCTGTAAATCATGTGTAAGAAACTTCCACCTTCAGGATAGCGGCAGCTCAGAATTGAAGCTCACGCGGCAGCTGAGCTTCATGCATGCATGACGGCGCAACTGCAACCCTGATCACATCATGTAAAGATGTAAAGGCAAGGACACTCCAAACCCATGAAGCCAGGTTCAAAGAGACACTGACAGTCGCCCGTCGCTTTGATTATCAGCATCTTGACCAGATCAGCTGTCTGTCAACGAATAAATCAATCACATCGACCTGAGTCTGCTGGAGGGTACCGGCCGCACCGGTCAACATCGACTCGTCACGTACCGGCGGGCTTGCGAGGTCGACTGTGCATGCGGTCTCGCGGCGGTCTAAGTGCGTGCCACTATAATACAGCTAGCTCAGTGGCTAGTACGCGCAGTAGTACCGGGGCCCCGGCCCGTTTCGAACAGCGTGAGTGACCCAGTGTCGGAACCGAGACCGATCAGATCGTATATATATTTAAGGGTACCATCACTTTGAAGTGGCACCCGGCCCCTTAGAAATTGTGTGGGGGGGGGGGGGTTCAGTTGCTTCAGCCAATCGAAGGTGGGGAAGGGGGGGGGGGGTAAATGCCTTTAATTCACTTGGGGCGAAGCCCCAGCCGGATTTCAGCTGAAGAACATTCTTTTCAAGCTAATTTATCATCTTTTACCCCACGGGTCAGAGATTCTACACCATGAATGCAACAAAGAAGCTCTTTTCAACGTTAAAAAGGGGGCGAATTCATGCATACGACACTATTATTTTTGTCCAATTAAAGCAATTGCCCGGGTGGTGGCTGTTTGACCGGGGCCTTGACCTTTTTTCTGAAGACAAGGCCAAGAGAGGGGGGGGGCTTGAGACCCTCCAGCCAAAGTGCCTCTACTAGCTAGCTAAAACAACTAACCGGGTGCCACTTCAAAGTGCTAAACACCATTGATGTCGGCGCCGGCCGGGCCGGCCAGCCGTACGGGTCTTTGCCGGAGCCCGGGGGCTCAATTGGCAATAAAGTTGCGAAGCCGGATCCGAAGTTAGTAAGTGCTTCCGAGTACGTAAGAGCCGGTACCTACTTAGTACTTTACAAAAGCAAAAGCAACCGTGTACGTAATGCCATTGTGAATTTGCAAAAAAAAAAACTATTTTTGCCCAGGTCGAAATTTCTCAGAAATTATTCCCTGCCTGGTCGAAAAGTTGGAAATGAAAAAACCAAGTTATTTGGACCTAAGAATGCTTGTTTAGCGGGAAAAATGGGCAAAAACGAAAACAAAAATAGATTATTCTAACCGATGCGAAACCAAAACAACTTTAAAAATAATTGTTCGCGGTGTTTGGGTGCGAATTCAAATGGCAGTACGGGTACATCTCGTCGCGGCATGCAAAGAAAATCTGGTTTTGATCTTCATTCTGCCAGTACGTGAGAAGTAGGCACGCAAGTACATGAGCCCTAGCTGGCCGAAAGTCAGGAAAGTTTTAACGGTACTGGTCCAATTTGCAGCTCTGTCCAGAGTCGACCAGCTTGCCTTGTTTGGCTTTCAGGTATTCTGGATACAGTGAACCTGGACTCCGAGCGCTCTGCCGCGTACAGCCGTGACGGTGTAATACTTAATGACTGCGCTGAAGTCACCTTTAATCCTCTGCCGGCACACTTCCAAGCTGCGTCACCTAGGTACTTCGTACCTCGAACCTCTTTTGCCAGCTCGCGGACGTCGGCATTATGCGGATCTGACAGGAGTGCATGAGACGACTCCGACCACTGTACGGAGCTACATGCGTAGGGCAAACGCTTTTATTAGCATTCCGGGCTCCTGGTATGGTCAAGAACTCAACCCAAACCTACATATTACCTGTCCTGCTCTTGCAGCGCACCACGGCTATGTAGTTGGCTGCTGGTCTTTTGGTAGCCATTGTCCCATCATGTCTCTCGTCTGAATATGGCTTGGGTTTATGCTCACTTGCTTACAGGGCAGGGGCGCCACGGCCATGGTCTGCGAGTTGAATGTATGGTATACATGATCCTCCCGCCAGCTCAGGAAGCGACGCTCAGCCGCTTCAATGAAAGAGCAGCTCAAGGTTAGGCGGGGGCAATCAAAAGGTTGAAGAACATTGGGATCGGGCATGCGACCCCGGCGCTATACGTGTGGACTGTTGGTCACAATGGGAGGGAACACAATGGCACCTGGTCCCGGGCAGGGAGACAGCGCACACTGGTACTTACTAGGGTTCTCTCTCAAGCCGCTGCAGAAGGTTAGCTGGAGGTATCTTGCCCTTGCTTTGGTGGTGCTTAACGCGGCAGCTTACTCCTGCCTCTGCACCTTTACCTCCCGCCCTTGCGATGTTTGCTCGCACGAGATGTTCAGCAACTCGTCGCGCCAGCTTGCGGCCTGCGAAGCGCAGGTCCAGGCACTAGCGCTAGCTGAAAGAAAGAAACAAGATGACGGTCCGCCAGCTAAAAGCGTGCCGACCAGCTGCCCTGATTATCCAGGACCTAGGACACCCCTCAAGGACTTTGCTTGTGAGATCTTCACGGAGACGGCCCAGCGGATGCAGGATACGGATTTCTGGAAAAATGATGCGGCGCCCGCGACTTTTTTGCTGCCCCCGGTGGATCCCCGCTCCCGGTTCCTGTACACGAGCCCGGTCAACGTGGACTCTGGCATGGTGCAGATGATGCGGGACATGAGCGCGCAGGTTCCAAGGATCATACACCAGGCGTTCTTCGCACCAAAAGTTCACAACCTGCAGCAGCTGGAGCCGTGGCTGGAACGCGCCAACGCCATGCAAGAGTACGCAGCTCAGTGGGGCTATACTTACATCCGGTGGGACTTGTCCAGCTCAAACGAGCTTGAGAGGCTTCTGGGGTCTGAGGGATTTCAGCTGCTGCAGTTGGAGATCAGCAAAGAGCACCTTGCTTCTGCTGCCAATCTGGTTCGCTACGTAGTTCTTGAGGAGCACGGAGGTTTCTGGATAGATCTGGACTATAGCCTGCCCAAGGATCATACAACGGGAGAACTGATTGACCTTCTGGACGTGTTTTCTCCTAGTGGGGCTACCTTCGTTCCGGAGGCTTCGTGCAGAAACATAGAGAAGAGTGCGATCTTCGTAGAGACGTCGCTCTTTTCGTGCCCTCCCCACCACCCTATCATCAGAAGGATGATTGCGAGCCAGATCCAGAATTTCGAGGTGACAAACGGAGTCGACTTGGCGAAGAGGGGAGGCAGCTTTGTTCAGACGGGCACCATGCTGTTCAATAAGGTTCTGTTTGGAAAATACACTTTGATTGACAGGCAAACTCTGGACACCATAATGAGTCGCTAGACTACGTACGTACCTTTGCCTTGCCACAGTCTCTGAGATCTTTTGTAACTGATTGTACATTTGTTTGTCAATCTTAGAGGTAGAGAATGAATCTTTTTGTGCATACGGTACCGTATTCTAGGGAGAACTTTCACTGTCTCGTCCTTACGAGGTCAACAAACCAGACCACAGGACTCGATCATGCAATTGTTTGAATGGGTGTAGTAGCACTCATTCAAAAATCAAGGCCAGATTCTAGACGTCGAGCTCCTTGCATATCGACGCTGAGAATCAGCTGATGGTCGATAAAATCATGACGGATCGGAGGAGGCATATTGTGACATGCATGCGAGGCAGCTCACATCCGCCGAGCTTAATGATCTGGGTCGGTCAAGCACTCGGTACAATCATGCAAGTGCAATAGTCAGGTATCTTGTGCGTCCAGACGTGTAGGCTGACCGTACCGTATGAGACCGGGCCTTGCGTTATTGTCCGCTTAAGTGAGGCTTCCGAAGTTCACCGTTCTAGCTCTACCGATATACTTTTCTGCTTTTTGTACGTTTCAAATGTTGCTCATATAGCTCACATTATTCAACACGCATGCTCTGACTGGTGCTACTATCATCAGCCACCGCGTCGAAGACTGCAGCAATTTCTAACGTACATCAAGCTAATTGGATGTAATCATTCCTAGGTTATTTGACACAAAAGGTCCTTCAATCCAGTTGTACAGACGTGGCAGTAATCGGATCAAAGCGACCATGCCCGCATTCAAGTCGAAGCCGGTCAGAGGGCCGGCCCGGGCCGGGCTTGATGGTCACTTCTTTCGATACACGCTCAAGTTAGGCACAAGCCACTGGGACCTTGACGCAGAGAGAAGCAATTTCCGAATCCGGGCATCATCAAAATATGCTTCTGTACTTACCAAAGCAATCATGGTCATCGTGATTACTGACAAGAAAGCAGCATGTCTAACAGAAGTGTTTAGCTAGCATTGATGTTTCGTCGATGAAAAACGCAAATATGAATATCTTCTCGTACACCCAACAGAAGCTAGTGGCGACTGTCCTGGCTTACAGTTAGTAGAAGCTGGTAGGCGCAGTTGCACCGCACTGCTAAATGAAAGGTGAAGGCCCAAAGTCCAACACGGACACCAGAGAGAAGGAAGACTAGTGGACCAGACCGTCTCATTGGACGAGACCCCGTTGTTAGAGATTTCTACCAGCGAAGCTTACTGATCCCATGTCCATGATTCTTGCCATGCACTTCGATTCGTCATCAATCACCTGTACTGGCAGCTACTATAAACTCCGTTCTATTGGGCCCTTCCAAGTTCCGTTCCGCATACTCCCGTAAAATGTACGACCTTTAACGGTGTCTGTGATAATTGCATTAGTACTGTCGGCTGTTACTTACCTAGTCCAGTAGTCACTTCTAGCCATGCTTTGTTGAAGAGGAGGCGATCCTGAAAGTACCACTCAACTAAGGCGTTGTAGTATACTGCCAGCAAGTTCCGCCCGTTTTCGGGAGCATTCTAGAAACGCATGCACAGTCAGCCTTTTCGAGTACGTATAGGCACTTCCACTGCATTACAGACCTGTTTGCTTTTGTCTGACAAGCAGTGGCTACTTTCGATTATAATATACAAATACACGCTCCCCTCTTCTCAATATGACGGGCGCAAAATCTGCTGCATCTCCCAGGATTCCGCTTCAGGATACGAACCCCTTGGCAAACCTCATCACACACGCAGCGAAATCACCCCGCATTTCCTCCACCTGTGCTCCTCCTCCCAATTTAGGCACAGTTCCTCCCCAATCAATCCGTCTCCGTTTGGAATTGGACGCTTCGCTAACTCTGGCTCCGAAGCCCCCCTCCCCTTCTCCGTCTACATATCCCTGCCCCTGCGAGGCGCGCCCACGTTGCCGTAATATTGCTTGTTGCTGCCCTTCACCGGAAACACTAAGTGGCGAATATGGTTCCTTTCGCAGTACTGGGGAGGTGCTCTGGTCTAGGAAGTCCATCAGCACCTGCTTGATAGAGGACAAGGGAAAATGTGGATTGCATGGGTTCAGAATTAGCTGGATTTTCATCTTAGTCCTTTCAAGCCCCGGCAACTTGAATCGAGGCGCGCGTCACTGTAACGAGATGTTTTCCCTTCTCTTGTGGATTTTTACGACGTACGTTTTGATCGAAAAACATTCTTTGAGACAATCACTGGGAGCTCAAAGTCCTAGGTCTTCTTAGCGCAAGCTTGAATATATTACTCGAAGGGAATGAAGACGAGGTACGAGCCACTTTACTTCTGTCAGGGGCTTAATTGCTCAGCTCTCGAGCTGAAATTTTGCAGTCGCCGCATGCGAACGGGATACAAGATCAAAACCTCTCAGGATTAAGGGCTGCGAACGAATCATCGGAGATATATAGTGGATGCGCACTCAGGACATCAGATTTTTCTAGGATTCTGAAACTGTGAAACTGCTTACGTTGAGAGGAAGCCAGACTGGGAGTGTGTTCGAGTTCATCAAATAAGAGCCCATATCAGTGCTCAAGGAATGTGCTTTGATCAGAATCGCGAGGTGGCCAACTTCAGGTACTCAGAAGGGGATTGCTCTTTGAGTTACTGCTCAACTGTGAGCACGGGTACACGTAAATACTCTCACAAAAGTATGCTTTTACACAAAAGGGCCGTGATCAAAGAAAAGACAGCTTCTTCAACAGTCTTTGATGGAGATCTTCAAACACCGTGACGTACCTCGCTGATTCCCGCACTGTAAAGCCCAATGTCGTCGAACGCCTTCCACGCTTCCACCCCCGTGTCACCTCCTGTCCGCCTTTCTAAATTCCTATCCGGCCAGTCCCGCAAAGCCCCTAACCCGTCGTCTCCCAGTCCCGGAAACTGCTGCCAGAACGATCCGCTGAATTTCTCCACTGCGTGATTAGAACTTTGCACCGGGGCTAACGGGTGCGACTCTTCATGCTGACGCGCAGTGGACGTGCGGGCGTCGAGAGGGACTGACGGGCGCCCGGGCGTCAGTTGAATGCTCGGCGTCAGACATCCCCCTGCGGATGGCCAGGCGTGTAAGCCGTCCACCGGAAGGTGCTCGCTCAAACAATCTGGTGTCGGGAGAGGATCCAACGAGTGCCACACTCCGGGGTTCCGCCTCCCAGGAGGCAGCTTCCGCGGCCGGAAAGCAGCACTCTCTGCTTGTTGAATCTGCTGCGATGACGGGGATTCGACGTGCGGCGCTTCATCAGGCTGACCGTTTTCTCGCCGGGCTGAGGCCCCTGGTGTGACAGCGGCTGACGTATTTGGGGATACCTCCGGAAGCTCAAGGCTGGCGAGACCCACCGGCTCGTCAAAACGGGTTCCGTTTTCTTTCGCTTCTCCGATGGCGGCCCCGTCCGGCTCTAGTCTTGCCCCGGACTCCCACACTTCAGACGGCTGGTGAAGTTGACGTGGGCGACCTACAGCATACTCTGTTGGAAAGTCGTCGGCACGGCACGCTAGGGGTCTTTGACTTGTTGGAGCTGTTGCGCCTCCGTTTTTCGGGGACGGGTATTGCGCTCCCCAAATAGCGGCAGCCGGAACCGTTGTCCTGACAATAGGAGCTTCTTCCAAAGACGAGCCGGTTGGCGGTACAGCCACTGACAAGCTTCCACGTGGCCCTTTCACCGGCAACTGGTTCAGCGTAATTTCCGTGTAAGCTGCCAAAGCGATCACGGATTCTTTGTTTGCTTCTGGGGCTACAGAGTCTGCGGAGACAATCCACCGTGAAGCCCCTGTAGCGTGACAGCAGGACAGCATCAGAAGGAGTTGAACTTGAAACGCTTCATGACCAAAACCGAAACAAACATAGAAGGCTCATCCGAGCCATAATGCTGTCTTCTCCATCTTTCCATTGGCCCTGATAGTTTCCAAAGATTACTCGCTCGTTCAACCGGCCGCTACGGATTGAAAGGTGTTTCCCTTCTTTAGCTACACGACCTTGAGAGTCAATCAACGCCAGGCGATGCGGCAAATGCTGCATGCATGCAGCAGGACCTGGTGCGAACATTGCAGCTAGACCTCGCTGAATGACGAAGAACCTAACTTGAAACAGTTGAACAATCATAAAAGCTGCTACGGACTCCAATTATCAGCCATTGCGAAACACCTCAAACCTCCGAGTCCCCCCCGGCATGCTAGAAAAGACATTCTCAAAGAAAACACAGAGAGCACGCAGAATGTTGATCGATCACTGGCAGTACTTAGAGAGTCACTCAGAGAGCAACTCTGTGCGTGTCTTGTTAAAACATCGGGCCGGCGTTAGATTTCCTGGATAAGTATGCTTCTTTTTTCAATTACCCCTGGTTGAGGTTGAAAGTAGGCATGGAACAACAAACTGCTTTCGAGCTTCTCACCATGAGCAACACTTGCTCTTCCAATCTCGTAGTCGTCATTCCGCGTGCCGAAATCCTTATCCCAGGTCTCCTTGAACGGGCCCGTCCGCCGTGAACACTTGCCCGTTAATTGAAGCTCCTCCAACAGCGCGCCAAAGCGCTCGAGAGTTTCCTCTCCCGATGCTACAAACTTGGCGCAGGGCAAAGGAGCAGGAGCGCTATTGGGCCAGATCAGACTCAACTCCTCTTTCCTTGACAGCTTTTGGCTGCCCGCAAATCCATTTTTCAATTCCGCTCCCCCTTGCAAACCCGCCTCTTCCCAATTAGAAGGGAGCGAAACCCGCTGCACCTTTGCTTCGTCTTCTCCGAGTCTTCGCTTGAAGGCTGATCCAGCAGCCCGCCTCCCACCCAACGGATTTGAGCCAACGCTCCGATTTCGACCTTCTCCGGTCGGTAGCTTAGCCGCAGCCTGAATTCTCCCCGGCTGCCGTCCGCAACCGTCCGTCTCTGGTCTGCAGCGGTTTGCCTCTTCCCTGCAGGCGTCCGCTTGTTGTCCGCAGCCGTCCGCTTTTCGTTCCTGGCCGCCAGACTCCCGACTGCTGCCGACTGATTGCCGTCCGCAACCGTTTGCTTGCCGTCCGCAGGCATCCGCAGGCAACCGGCGGACCTCCGCTTCGGCAGCTGTTCCCGTTGCGTGACAACTAGCAACGTCCCCTCCGTTAGTCGCCCCAGCTTTCTTTAGGACTCGCCCATCCGAAGGACCACTAGCGCGCACTGCATTTTCTACATGCCGGGGGGCCACTGTCTCACCACTGCCTCCTCGACCGGTTTGCACACCACTGGTTGGCTCAACCCTGTGCTCTAAAGTGCTCCTTTGGCTCCACTGCAGCTGGTCTCCCCTTTCGAGTATCTCAGGGGAAGCGGTTGGCAGCAGAGCGCTACTCCGTCCCTTTGGAAGGGCTGTCTCCGCCGCGACGCGTCTCGTATGAGCCTCGAGGAGGGCTTTCCAAGCCCTGCTCTTCCCCACCCCCTTGCCTACGTTTCTCCAGACGATGGGCCGCAGCCTGGCTGGCAGATCCGCATGCTTGCCTAAAGCCGTGACCCTTTTCATCTCAAAGTTCACCTCTCCTTCTTCAGCAGCAGGAATTACCAGGTCCGCAAAGGCCCACTCCGTCAGTCTTGGAATGAGGACTTCGTTGTCTCCCGGAAGGTTAGACCGGGCTCCGCAGGCCCTCAACAAGAGTCCCGGACCACTGCTGCCACCCTCCATCTGTTTAAAATGCAGCTTTGGGGGAACTATTGGATCTTTGTTCAACAGGAGTCTTGAGGGACTCGGACATCATGGATGGTCTTCTGTAGTACGGCTCCCACTGGTAGCTCCTCCTGAAAGAGGAATAACCGTTGTCAAAAGCTAGCACGCTCAAAATTTGTTAGCCAGATCCTGGGTTCAATGTAAATTCGACAGACAGTGCGTGTTGGGATATAAAAGATTTCTGAAGCGGTTGCTAGAGGATCGATGTCTGTGAGGAATCGAGTATTTTAGATCAAATGCATGAAATATTTTGGTGATCCCCGCTTCCCCATGTCCTTCTGTATCGGCTTTAATATTAAAACCATGTCTGCAGATGCGGAGCCTCAAACACTGTGCCAGCTAATTGTCTGAAAGTTAGAAGGCCAGCTATGTGGTATGACCTTTCCAAGTACACATATATCTCTGTCTGTTGTTGGTTTTTTTAAGATGTGCAAGCACCCTCAGAAGCAGGCTTTGTGTCGAGGAAAGTGAGACAAAGCTTGTCTGAAGCAACTTTCGAATCGCCCACGCTTTTCTGACCTGTAAACATCATGAATTATCTCCAAGCTTAGTAGCCAGTACTAGGTGTCCCTCAAAATGAACCGCTTTCAACAACCACGGAGGCACACAGACTCCAACCAATTTCCCAAGTTGTTCTTCCACTTCACACTATTTCTATGGCACGCAAAGCTAGTGTAAGAAGGGGCCACCATCTTTCCCCTTCTGCACCACAGACCTCTGTTTAGAGACGGTGCAGAGACCGATTGGATAGCAGGCATGATATCTTTTGTTCTGGCTCGCTGATTAATTTGCATATGACATGACAAGCGATTGACCCACCGTAGCCTGCATGCGCTAAGCCAAGGTTTTTGCCTAGGTAAAATTAGCTCAAGCCCATAGCGGGCCGCTACAACTAGTTGTGTTCAATTGAGAAGATTATCAACCAGCGCTAGGCCTCGTTATACGTGATTGAAAAGCGCGCAGCCTGAGAAGCATTTTAAAGGAACCCCATGGTTCCGATGCATCGAAACCCACATCGATCGAGTTCCAATATTCACGTGCAGACAGGAAGACGTCGCACCTACCTTGATCTCAGGGATGGCAGCTGATCGATTGCGGTGGCTCAATCAAGCCTGTAATTGATTGATAACTTTAAACCGGCCAACTTGAAGAAAGGGGCACGGACTGGTTGAGCAAAGCTGGGCCACAACTTGAAGATCACTGAAGTTCACTGGCAGTACTCTAAGATGATAAGATGCCAATCAAACCAAAGTGCCAGCAAACATCAGACGAGTTGCCCAAAGCTTTGCACTTCTTTTTTGCGGCCGCGGCAACTAGAACTTGAATTAAGTTGAAGCCCTCAGGATCGAAAGTCTCCGAACAAAGTAACGCTGGTGTAATTGCTTCCTTTGCAGCTGAGTATATCCCCGGATGCAAAGCATGCAGCGCGGAGAACACTTGATTGAAGCCTTCATCTACCTGACCATGCAGTCAGGTCAGGACGTACGTACTGAGGGAAAGCGATGGGAGGCCGCACCTGCCTCTTCAACATCATGAAGGAGCTACTTCAACAGGAGCCGATGCCCCCGAGCTGGGCAGTCTGTGACGTCACGCATCTTTGTCCTTCAACATCCAGAAGAAGATAGCACAGCTGCAATCAGAGCAGCCTTACATCCTCTCTTCCATCTGGCAAACGCCGGTGAACCATCTACACCATGATGGTAAGGCGAGTCCATTTTTGAACCCGAATTCTGGTACCTACAACCCGCTTTCTAATTGGGTTTGTCGGTCGGTCGGTCGGAAGAATATCTATTGAATCAATGACTGATCTATCCTTTTGCTCATGAAACCTATACTGAGCTATTTCCAGATATATTAATGGCAATGAGATATTGGGGTGTCGACTTTGTCGAGGGCAAAAGGGCGCAAGGAAATCAAGTCACAAACACCACACACTCTTATCCTTTCTATTCTGAAGGATATTCATTCTCGAAGGGAAAACATTATCCACATTTTTATCATGAAATTGATTCGTCCCATTCTGGGTTGGTCGGGGACTGGGAATCACCGCATTCAATTCAAACGGCCTAAGCAGCGGACCGTCCCCCTTCCACGGTTGCTGCAGTTGGTGGTTAATTACACTTCTTTGATTCGAGCATAGCAGGCTCTGCTGGTTAAATTGATCTGGCATAGAAGTACTCTCTCTCGAAGACAGGTTCACCGAACCACAGCACGATGGCATACATTTTGTACCGTACGTACTCGCTCCGACCTCCCGAAAATTGCGTACTACGTACACTGATTGATATGACCGGTTCAAGTCCCGCGACTGTTCGCCTACCGTCGATACGTGACCTGACAGTCTAGATGAGCTGCACACAGGCAGGCCGACACGGCCGCCGAGGCCAGCTCCCGCCGCCTGCGCACGTACGGACTAGTCTGACCACTGAGTGCATGACGGCAATCATGAAACTCGCAAACTTTCGGCTGCGTCGTGTGAAGCAGGCGCTGTGACGCTGGAGGACTGAGGTAAACGAGACAGCTTCAATATTCAATGCACCTCCGGTGGTTGGTCAAGGCACGCACTCGCATACTACCTATGTGACGTCCTCAGGCTGTGTCATGGGACAATGATTTCAAGGAAAAAAAAAAAA